AAATATTTAAGGGACATAGAAAGAAAACATGACTGGGACACCCAAATATGTCTTCACATTAGACCCTGGAAGGTTCTTACATGCGTTATGCACTGTCTCCAAGTCTTACAGTCAGACCTATAGAAACAATCTAGCTTACAGCAGCATCACACACTAACCTCTTCCATTTCAGAAAGACATGTAAATCGCTAACATCTATTCTTTTCAAAGTGCAGAATACAGTGGCAGAGGAAAACACAGCAATATTTATCCCAAAAGTCAGGGAGAACAAGAAGATAAAGTGCTTTTTTCTCTTTAACCAAGCCTTCAGATTTTGATGTATTTTCCATTTAAAGAGTGTTGAGCTTAGCAAAGCTGTAATGTACAATGTCAAAAAGCTCAGCCACAGGTTAGTACTGTTTCTTGGTAGTGATAGTACAAGAATGATTTCTAAAGTGTACAGCAAGAGCACTGCCATTGTCTTGACCTTTTTTCTGTCTGCTGAACAACTATATCTTATATACAGAATTCTTCCAGCCTCCTGAACTATGTCTAGTCCTTGTATGTACTGGGAGATGGAGAGGAGATCCCACAATAGGAACACAGACAAAAAAGAAATTTGCATGTATATTACCCTAAAACTGTTTCAGCTTGACCTTTCACGAAGAATGGTTTAAAGGCTGAATTCTCTGACTGGGAATGCAAAGATTTATTGTCTTTATTGAGTATTGCTGATAGGGCCCTAGTAAACCATGACTGTTTCTTGGAGGTACACAGGTAGCGAAGAGCAGGAGAGAGCAGGTTTTACATTAAAAAGACAAATCCATTAGTATCCACACTAAGATGTCCAGCGTCCCAAGCAGAGACATGAATAAATGAAGCAGACTTTCGTTAAGAATATGTTGGGTGTAATAGAGTACTATACTTTTCATTATGGAATGACTAACTTAAAACAGAAATATAACCACCTACTTAGTCTCATCAAAGTCCTCCCACACCACACCAAGCACATGAGTTTCACTGGCTCCTTCTTTTAAAAGGAAAATAAATGAAAATATTGCAGAACTCCTCTGGGCATTAGTTCTCCCATTATTATTAACATTTTTAACACCTACAAATTATTAACATTTAAATAGGAAGTGATTTACCTGTTCAGGACCACAAAATTACTGACTCTATCTCTTGTTTAAATTCCTGTGGTTTCCTTGTTTGAATTTATCAAATAATTCATAAACTACATAAATTGCATTGGGAGACTATTATCACAAAACCTCATCTGTGACCAACTTCATGTGGATGTTGAGTAAGTAGATTTGTATCACCAGGAAACATAAAACCATTAACAGACTATAAATATTCTCTCATGAACTGAATAAAGAAATTCAGCTAATGTTTACAAGATTAATCAGAAGTAGTGTACAGTGTTTAACTTTTTTTGTATATTAAAAGTGATAAATTCAAGACACTTAAACACACTATTAAAAATAACATCTTGGGACTGTTTCTCACTGAACCAGCATCTTAAAGTAATAAAAAATGGTTTCTAGCTTATTTTTTATTCCATTATGCTAACCATCTGTTATCATATGTTCCATTAAAAATCAACTTTCTTCCAGAAAAGTATGTTTTACAGACTACAAGGAACATATATCTCCCATAATCTAATTCTGTATACAAATTGTGGTTACTAAACAACATAAGAGAAATGGTTTTAATATATGTTAAAGGAATTGTATGCCAAACACCTGGACAGATGTGAAGGTCAAAATCTGTGACAACCTATCCAGTGTCAATGAACATCATAAGTCAACAGTTGTCCAGCAAACACAACTGTCTTTCCACCCTTCTTTGCAAACTAAACTGAGACATTTTCAAGTAATTAAATACAAATGCTTCAAGTTCTGAATGCATTAAATGAAAAGTAATTAATCATATTTTATACACATGTTCAAATTGCAAAGCCCTATAAAATACGTAACACTCTCAAAGCCATAGTTTCATGTATGTCCAAAATATAGGTATAGACAAAGATATATACTTTAGGTAATAAAGTGCTTCACAGCACTAAACCCAAGAGTACAGTGCAACTAGGACAGTGTTATCAAATCTGTGTTTTCAGTAGTATCCTTTAAAACAAAAGCCCCACAGGCTTCTGAATTAAAAAGTCAGGGGAAAGTTCTTCTATGCATCTGAGACAGAAGAGACAGATCAAAGGAAAATCAGAACAGCTCAAAATCTCTGGAAGAGTAGTCTGTGTTTTCAGTTCTGATCTGTTTCATCAGGAATTCGTGGATGGACTAGTAAGGGGAAGAACACCTACCTTCATTAGCAGGTGTTGCACACATGATATGTGTTCGGTTTTCCATAAAATAACCTTTCAAAATGTATACTCATTATATATATTATATACATAATTCAGAATTCCTTACATTCAGTGCAGTAACTATCACAAAGATTTGAAATTTAGATTTAATGACTGATCTGAGATGTATAAAAGCCTTATATTGCATATTTTCAATATCATTATTACATATTATTATTACAGCTAGCACATTTTTCTAGTAGTATTAGTAAGGAAGTTATCATTATTCATTTCTATTCTTATTAGCATATATGTGTCATAATGGACAAAACCCAGTATCATGAAATACAGCATCCAACCCATACCCAAAATTCTTGTCAAGTGATTCTATGACAGCCTGCTACCTTAACTGACATTCTCCGTACGAGCCTTCTGGGCAGTATAATGTGGAAGAGAGCTCACTCAACACCTCAGGACCTACAGCTGCCTGCTCACTGCACACAACTGGCAAGGGACTGTGTTGGCTATGGGGAAAAGGAGCAAATCACTGAAATTAGTTCCACGCTCTAAGGCTAGGTAGAAATCGACAAAAGCCGTTCACGACTTAAAGCAGTGCTGGAGCTGCTCTTTATTGTACCCAAGTCCAGCAATGTCACCAGCTGGGAACTGCTTCAATGCCCAAGAGCTTTCCCCGCCCCCCTTGTATTCCTACTGGTGGGGAATTGGCTGGGCTGTTCACACCGGGTGAAAAACCAAAATTGCAGGTGCAAGATGTTGGGCTGTTTTGCATCACTGTTTGTCACAAGGAGTCCGGTTCGGGTGGGGAATCCTGCCGGCTGCCGCGGGCCTGGGCGAGGGTCGCGGAGCTGGGGCAAGCGGCAGCTCTCCCGTGTCCCCTACTCCCTGCCCCCTTTTGAAATCATTCCCCAGCAGCAACGCGTCGAGAAAGCACCTGGGAAAGCCGGGAAAAACATCGTACCAAAGCGGCTCGTCCCAGAAAGCTACCCAGATCCTAATAGCATCTGCAAAAATGCCTCCTTTTTGAAGCTCTTGTGAGGGGAAAGCGGTGAGGCGGGAGGGATGAAAGCACTGGTGCTTAGGAGCAGTGCCACTTCTCAGCTATACCGCGCTGCTCAAGGTCGCTCAGCCTGTACACAACGCAAACATTAGTCTTAATTGCAGCGCAGAAAACTACGAGACGAACGGAAGCTCCTTCCCCTACCCCGCTCGCAGCGGGACGTGTCTCCTGGGTTGTTAGGACAATTCACGCCACGTGCTGCCCCCTTTTAGCACAAGCATGTTTTCTTTAAAGACCTTTAAAAATTACCCTTTAAAATAAAACTTTTCCCCTCCCGCTAATTGGAAGACTCGGCTCCCCTCTTCCCCATACCAACCGTCTCCTGTGAACCCTGGAAAGGCTGGGGAAGGCGGGAGAGGACTCCCCGGCTCAGTCAGGCAGGTTTGCTGCGTGGCCGTGCTTGAAGCGCTGGGAAATCAGCCGTTCTCAGGCAAGAGGTTATTACCTTCTCCGTCCTGCTCTTCCGTCACTCAGGCAGGGCTATACTTCTGGTATGCCTTTCCGTAGGGAATTTACAGCGGTTGCGAGCGAGACTGGGGGGTGAATCTATTCACTGGTGTCTCACAGGCAAGTATGCTGAAGTACTTTCAGATCTGGCTCGGCAGAAGAGAAAAGAGGCCCACGGCAGCACTTCAAGGCTCACCGGAATTTGCCTCCCCAGCTGAGAGCGCTCCTCAGCCACGAAAAAGCCAGCGCCGCGGCTGGGTGGGTGGCCAGGGGATGGCTGGGCGTGCGGCGGGGGGGAAGACTACCTTCCCCTTGCTCTCCCATCGCTTCCTCAGCCCGTGACGAGATGCGTGTGTCCCCCCCCGCCCAACCGGCTCGTGCTCGCTCCCGTCCCGCCCGGCGGCCCCGCTGCTCCCAAGCTCCCTCCCTCTCCCCCGCTTCACCCCGTATAGATGGGTAGATATTTGTAGTTATTAGTTGTATTATTCGAGCCAAATTCCGCTCAGGGCTGGTGGTGGGCAGGCTCTCCATCTCCGCAAAAGAGCATGCTCAGCTCTCTCAGGCATGCTCCTTCAGCGGGGAGGGAGCCAGAGCTGGGCCGGGGGGAGTGAGGGGGGAATCCTCACACTCACACCATCCTAACGCAAAGTTTTATTGTTCAAGCGGCCCCGAGTCCCCCCTTCCAAGAGGAGGGGACCCTGGCGCAGCGCCGAGGGCTAGCGGGGAAGGGGGTTCCCCCTCTCTCCCGGCGGGGAGGGAAGTAGGAGGAGGAAGAAGAGGAGATGCCCAGGCGAGAAAGGCTTCAGAGCCAACTTCTGCCGGGAAACCCACAGGTCTGCTGCCGCCTCCTCCCGGGGCGAGACCACTGCTGCGCCTGACACTGCTCCCAGCTTTGATGCAACGCTAAGAACACACGGGCGGCACCATCATCATCATCATCATCACCACCATCACGACCATTATCATCGTTATTATTAATAATATTATGACAATGCTCGCTGCCGAGGAGTAGGAAGCAGCACTCGGCTCTGGCAGATGCCCTTCGGTGTTCCCTTCCCCAGCCCTTGCCCGGGTCCGCAGGAACCCCGCGCACCGCTCCGCGCCTACCCGCGCAGCCCTCGCCCAAGCAACGGCGGAGACGACAGGGGGGAGTCCAACCCAAATAGTAACGACGGCACCCGGCGGGTATCCTACCTTGAGGTCCTCCGTGTCCAGGTTTGCTGATCTCTCCATGGAGCGAAACTGAGCAGAGGGGAAACTAGGGAAGTTGTCCCCCAAAAAAATAAAAAAAAGTAAAGGAAAAAGGAGGAAAAAAAACACAAACCCAAAACCACAAACCCCACCACACAACACCAGACGGAGGCAGCAATCTAGTCTCTCAGTTTCCAGCCTAAACTCAGCCTTGTCCTCCAAACCCTGGCAACTGCTCTCAGTCTCATTCTCCGCGATCACGCCTCCACCGGTTTAAATAAATAAATAAATAAATAAATAAATAAATTTCACTTTTTTTCTTTTTTGATATTTTTTTTTTTTTAAAAAAAAGAACTCCCTTAAGGACTCAAGCGCCAGGTGATCTCCGGTGAAAGAGATTCGCGTCCTCAGGCAACGGGAGGAGGAGACAGGAAAAAAAGAATCCGCTCAGTTTAAAGATTATTTTTTCTTCTGCAATAAGCTCAGAAACCGGCGAATCGCTGCATCCCGAGGAAAAATCCTGTTTCTCCGGACAGCATCATGCAGCAGATTTAGAGCAAATGTGTTCAAACTGAAGAGAATAGCCTGTGATAAAAGCCTTTCTCCGTCATGCCTACTCTGGTTGCTAATTTAGCACCCTGTGAGTGCAAGACATTAGCCATGAACAATTTTGCTGGCAAGATAACAAAATCCTCCAACTCCTGCACAGACTCAGAAATTCTCTGTAGCTAAAGGTATTTCCTCAATAATAACACTAGGGGAAAAAAATAGGAAAGTCTGTAAGGGATGGTCTTCTTTGAAGGTTATGCTAAGAGTTGGGAGAAAAACAGTAGGTGGATCTCTTTGCAGAAGAGAGAAGGAAGAGAAGCAGAAATTCCCCCCTTCGCTCCTGTTTTACTGTCCTTCGCCGCCAGGTGACTGACTTCCCTCCTCACGGCCCGCTCGAAGGGAATTTCTCCAGCTCTCCAAAAGCAACGTTTCCCTTTCTGAGCAGCCCAGCCACTGGAGCTTAATGTCGGCGGCCGGCAGCACCTCCCCGGGGGCGGGCATGGACACGGACCCACCCACGCACTCCCGGCGCTCGCCAAATGGCTCCTCTCGGTAGCCACACGCTCACCGGCGTAAAAACCACCACTGCCTCCCCACCACTCCCTCTAAAACCATATATATGGTATATATATATATGTGTGTGTATATATATAATATATATGTGTGTGGGCAGGTGTGCCTAAATTAACAAGATGATGTGAAACTTCTCCATCTCTGTCTAGAAGTGCACAGCTGTTATGCAGCTGTTGAGCGTATCATTAATGTGCTGCAGCTTTGGCGGAGCAGCATTTCTGATGGCACATGGATTAAGTCTTGAGTCTCTTTCAGGGTGTTACTTTACTAATCTCCTTTTTCGAAGGATTCACTCTCTCGCGGCTCTTGTACCACTCCAGAGAGGATCAAAATTAGATTTAAAAATTCAAATTCCTCCTCACCGAGATCCTGATTTTATCACAGTCCTTTGTCATAAATCTGCCAGTTGCAGTTTTGGAGAACAAAGCTGTGATTTTTGTTCCCTTCCTATCGGTCTTTTGGGGGCCTTATTTATTTAACTCCATGAATGACAAATTCAGAACCGTCACTTTCTAATTCTATCACCTCCTTTCTACACTGCTTTAAATAGAATTGGTATTCCTGATAATTTGACATATGTAGACAGATCTAATATCCCAAAGTGGATACTCTCTTTCCAGTTCAATATAGATTTGCTTGCAGCTTCCAAAACTTCAAGGTTAACATAAGCTTGAGGGCTGGGTGATGCCCAGTGATAGCCATTTCTGAGGACCGAATATAGCCCTCATCTAGAAAACTAAAGATGTGGTGCAGGCACAGGCAAAAGACAGTTCTCCTTTTAGCACAAATTGTATATGACTTCCAGGTTCATTGTGAATGTAATATAAGTATCATTATTATCATTAATCTAGAACTGCAATTTATAAAGATTAAAGACTTGGCCTGGTGTTCCCATGTGAGCCAACACACTTGTGTCCAAATAAAATATTGGCAAAGTGGACACTAAATCTAGTTGCTGTAAGACCTGTAGAAATTTGTGTTTTGTTTTTTTTTTTTCCTGACAAAAAAAAACCATTCATCCCCCAAATAAAAAATCTGGAGAGACTTCTAAGAGACCAATCTGAAGGAAAACATCTCAGAATGCACTTCTAGGGTTCCCCAAATGTGCCAATATGCAGTACTAGGAAGAGGAGGGGATTGCCCCAGAATGACACCAACCAGGGGACATAGTCTGGGAGTATCTTGGTGCCATGGCTGGTGCCAATGGATAGCCAGAAGGCTCCTGATCTGCTTCATACATCCACACCTGTTTACATGGTGATTAGTAGACCAACAAGTAACTGCACAAAATGCAGCTTTATAAAAACAGAGGGCCTGCAGCACTGTGACTTTGCTGCTGTCTTCTTGCTGTCACACTGCAAGACTTTCTTGGACGGGTTACTCCTTAGTTTGTTTTCATATTGGTACCAAGTGTGCTGGGATGAGATATGTCTGAGAATCCCCTACTGAATTTTGCTGATAGTGGTCAAGAGTTCAGGGAAGAGACAAGGAAAGTTGACAGTACAATCATATAAGCCTAATTTCCTTAGAAAACAATACAAAAAACAAATTGATTTTGTCGCTTTAATAACACTTTAAAATCCGTTTCACTTTTCATAGGTAATATAACCTAAGAAGAGGCTTTCTGTTGCTAAGACAGGCGCTCCAAAATTAATTAATACCAGACTTCTAGTTGCTTCAAATATCTAAGTTTTTTGTCTTGTGTATAAACTGTAAGACCTCTCTTTTTCCGTTGCAGGGCCCTAATTCAGAAGACACCCCTGACATTTTCATCCTCATTATTCATATATGGCCCTATGTCTTAGTCATTGCACACAATGTGGAATTATTATTTTCCTTAAAGAGGGCTTTCTGTTTCATTTAGCACAGTTAACAACTGTATTCTGCATAAGTGTCAACACAAAATTTTACTATATGCGCAAATATTATCATTAGCATTAATAGAGGGGAAAACTGAAACCAAGCCAAGAGGCTAAATTCAAAGAGGAACCAGTAAATCTTGAAGCAAATCAGAGCCTGAACTCTGAAAATGAGGCCTGAGCCTGGTGCTTGCATAAATGAGTGGAAATGAAGAACACAAAGCAAGCAGCAGCCTGCAAACTCAACCAAGCGCTGACTTTGACCTTCGGCCTTTTGTGCAGCAGGTCAACAGGTGAAAGACCAGTGAAATTGTGTTATTTTGTATACATCCACATGCTTTAGCTACTGTATCACTTATATTCATGTATTCATTTTCTTCATTCAACTGCTAAGCCTTCCATCTTTTCTTTTTCCATTTCAACTAACAAACCACTGTGCAAATGTCATTCACTGCCTAGTCCTACATCTTTCCTGTACCCCAGTCTTCCTATGCCAGGCATTTCTGGTAATCATAATTGAGGATTATACGTAGGTTATAATTAAAGGTTGTATTGTCAAGATTTAATTAAAGACTCTGTGAGGAGAATCCTGGAAAAATAAGCATCCTTAAAAGCTAAGTGTTTAATTTTGAAGTACTTGACGAGGTTAAAGTCAAGTTTAGGTTATTTTTTTGGTACTTAGTCTTCTGGGTTATTTTTCTGGTTGCTTGCTTGCCTTTCTCCCTCTTCCCCCTTTTATTGAGGCTAAAAAGACTTGCTTTCCACAGATTCTTGCTGTACATTTTTGTAGCAGAGTTGACCCCAAAGTATAATAGCAGGATACAGAGCAGATACTGGACTTTGCTACAGTCACCCAGGTTAGAGGAGGATTTTACCCAATACAGAAAATTTGCCTCCGGGACTTGAAAAAAATTAAAATCTGCAGTCATTTAAGACTGCATGCAGACAACAGGGGAGCGTATTTTTCTAAATAAGGTCTGCAAAAACATCTTTGTAATCATAAGGTATTAGCAAACTAATGTAGGGACTGCAGCCAACTCCCCCTGTGAAACTTCAAAATGGTGAACAAGTGCAGTTCAAACCTATGCTGGGAGCAGTGAGAGTGTACAACTTTTTGGCAAGAAATCATGCTTTTAAACAGGCACAGTAGTTCCAGTAGATAGCTCTCATGGTTTCTTTATTTTTCCAGAGATGCCAAGATAGGCATATGTCCCATACAATATGGCACAGAGTGCTTTGTCCTCTAGTCTTACCTTTGACAGAGACTTTTTCTCAGATTGAGAGGTTTCCAAGATAGGGTTGCCTAGAAGACCTTCTTGTGTGGGTTTGTATTCTCCAAGTACAGACAATTTACTGGGTTCCTTTAAGCTCTTCATATAGCCCATGACGGGAGGTAAACACTTCTGAAGGCTGACTTATTTCATAGAGGTCTGAATCACTTCTGGAAGTAACTGTTTCCTTCTGACTGCACAGGTAGTTCCTGAAGTTCAGTGGCTGAATCTGGGACCACATGCTTAGTAACTTAATACAGATATGATTGAACTTAAGGCAGAGTTACACATATGTGTCTGAAAAAAAGATGTCAGTCATAATGAAAACATGGAAAATGATGGATTCATTCATAGTGAAGCCCCAGGTGTTAGGCTTTGTCATTTCACATCTTTCTAAAATAGAGAGGACAATTTTCCTAACGTATTGTTAGTAAGAATGAAGAATAATTCAAAAGCGAATACAGCACTTTTGATATATTTCATAGATATTTTCCATTCTAAGAAAAACTCCAAACCCACAAATCCAACATTTAAGGCTAAGGATACAGACTTTAGCATCAACTATGGGAACATATGAGTACTACTATAGCTCTTAAGCAGAATTACTATGTTTTCCCAAGTTGCATGGGAAACCTGGATACCTGAAAATGTTTTTATACTGCTCCACAATGTGTAATTTATTTTTTTTTATTATCAAATATTAGGCTAACATAGGTATATGTATGTTACATTATAATTATCTCTTGGTAAGAGTAGAGTAACATAAAATTGGAGATTCTGGGGCTGAAGTCAATAAAATACCAAACTGTATAGTAATCCAAATTGTAGCTTACCAGTCTGGATATCCGTGTTCACACTTCCAGCTTAACAAAGTACAACAACTCTGTAGCTCAAAGGATTTAAGGTATTCTAACAGTTTATAATCCATATGCATAATTCTTTTTAATGCTTGTGGATTCCTGAATAACTGAGCTTCCTAGCAAAATTATTTACAGATCTCTGGGAAGTAATGTGAGCATTTTAAGTAAATAAGCAAATAGATAATTATGTTGAGAAACCTGTAAACCTTTAGCTATTATTAAAATAAATATAATGAACCAGAAAAAGAAAAGATCACACTTTGTGTAGGAAAAAACACTCATTTTCTAGTGCACTGCTTAGAGAAGCTGGTCATTGTCATAGGAAAGATATAGTTTCAGAGTATGTTCAGTTTTATCAGGAAGTAAATGCTTTTTACAACAATGGTATTTATACTGTAAGCTCTTGAGGACAGAGACCTTTTCCTTTTAATATCTAGCAAGCGCCATGCAAAGATACATGTATACATTAATATTTAATATACAAATATTAAGAATACCTCCAAGTGAGGAACATACTTTCTCACAAAATCATGCTAGATTACAGCTCTGAATGTAAATATAACAGTTTTACAATTATAACTAGAGCGATTCCACAGTAATACCAAGAAAGACCTGAGTGCTGTGTGTTTGCAATCGGTACATATTTGTAAATCAGATTTCTGAGGGTATGGGATTTGTACGGTTTGAGATTTGTGTGTGTTTATACATGCGTATGGACATCTCTCTGAGCCCTATTGGTAACCTTTGAACCAAATAACCAACTTCAACCTGCATTAATAGAGGTCTTAAATAGATCCTATTTGTGAAAGTAAACAACATTATACAGGAGAGAGCAAAGACCAGGCTAATACCTTCACTCAAGGGGGGACTGCAGAGTAAATTTGGTGTACCTTAGTAGTTATCTAAAAATATGCAGGAAAATGGTAAGTTTAAAAAGCTTTAATCATGTATTTATCAGGCATGAGAGCAGTCCCTATTCAGTC